AAATAACAAAAAAATAAAAGAAAAGAAAGAAGAACCCATCAAATGAAGTCAAGCATTTGAGCAGAACAAAGGCCAAACACAACCGCAGACAGTTACCCATACAAATTGCAGCAGAGCTATAACAGTGTGTGCGTGAAAGAGAGAGAGAGAGAGAGAGGCATAGGCAGGCAAGACAGACAATAAAAGTGTACTAAGCGAAATGGCCAGCAGGGCATTGCAACGTCTACATTGTTATATGCATTTAAAGGTGTGCCAGAAGTTAAATGCACCTGCCACGGGCGATTTCTGGGGTTTAATGGCATGGCACTGACTGACTGGATGGATGGTAGGGAATGGGACAGTGCGGTACGACATGGTTTGGTATAGGACAATAAAAGCGCACCGCTGGGGCACACAAATGGAATAACAGCCGCAACAACCATAACAGCAACACATGCAACACAAACTTGCCTCGTGCACCTTGTTGCAGGCGTCAAAAGCCAAAGGCAAAAGTTGCTCGAGCTGCTGCGTAAAACTTTGCTGCATACATTTCGACTGCGTTTGCCGGCCGACTGAGGCGACGAATGTGTACGATGGGTGTATGTGTGTGTGTGTGTGTGTGTGTGTGTGTGTGTATGGGAGAGAGAGAGTATAAGTGTGTGTGCCTTTGTTGCCTTGCATAGTTGTGCACTCAACTATACACCCATATTTACCCACTGCAGACACGTCTGAAATAATATACAGTAAAGCCTAGCTATGAAGAGAGAACGAGATAATAAGAAATAAAACTTAATATTTATTAAAAAAAAATGAAAGAAAAACAATATCAAACAAAAATAAAATCATAGTTGCCAGTTTTATAATAAACTATCTTGAGGAAAGTTCCGATATATCCTGAATAAATCAATTATAGGATGAATTTTTTTGGAAATAGTTTAACAAAAACTATCGTGAAACAATTGAGCAAATTTTTAATTTTATGTGAAATTTTGACAGTTAGGACTCTATTAGAGTAGCTGTTTTAAGTATATTATATATTAAATGATTAGCAGTCGGACTCATAGCATATTTTCATATATTGTTACTTACATTTTACTACTGCATTGTTATTATTTAGTCAGCAGATATTATTTAATACCCATATACCTAAAATGTTTGCATATATATATATATTCCTCAAGTCTCGAGCATATATATGGTTTCAAGCCAGTCCTTTACATACGATAATTACTGTGCAGCGAAACAGCGAGCAAATCTCCACATAGCATTTTCAATTCCACATACATATCGAATACATACTGTACACGAACACAGATATCCAAGCTAGTCATTGAAATGTCATAATTTAGGCAACTCTTATCGCTCAATACTATAGTCATACAAATTTCTTATATATGTATTTCTCTTTTCGCCTAATCTCAGTCTCTCATATCCAAAAAGTTCTGTTCAGACGGCATATCAGAATAATTTATTGTCATCAATAGGACAGCTCACAATACTCATACTTTCACTTCATACCAGTCTCTCATATTCTGTAACTACTGTACAGTGAAACAGAGAGCAAAGCTAAACAATGCATTGCCAATCTCTAGTCAGCTCACATTATTCAATATTATAGACATACAAATTTCGCACTTCACCTCATGCCAGTCGTTTATATACTATTACTACTGTACTACGAAGCAGAGAGCAAAGCAAAACAGTTGCAATATTTTCAGAGATTACCAAAAAAACAAAAAGGAGAAGCGAATGCCGCCTCTACCTCTGCCTCCCCCTCTGCCTGTACCACCCTGTGCGTTCACAGCCGGCGCAGAGCAAGGCACAAAGTGTGGTGAAAAAGTGTGTGAAAGAGCAATAACCCACTGTGAGAGCTGCGTGCGTGAGTGCGTGAGTGTGTGAGGTGTGTGGGTGGTGGAGTCGTAGAGTGGTGGAATGGTGGGTTGGTCATTTACAAAGAGAACGCTCTCTTGGGTCCGCATTCGCATTGTCGCATTCTCTTACTGCGCGCTTACCTGTGTGCTCAACTTATTTGTGTGTTTGTTTGTGGCCTGTAACTGTGTTGAGTTTCCGGCACGCCGTATAAACAAACCCAGACCCGGACGCAAACTCGCGTGGGGGCAAATGCCGGCTAACCAGCCAGGGGGGTTGCTGCTCCCTTTGCTGTTGTTGTTGTTGTTGTTTTTATTGTTGTCGGTGCATTTGTTAAGCCGTTATCAATGTCAACAATGCAGACATGTTTTTATTTTAATTATTATTATTATTGAATTGATGCCGCGTCAGACAATGCAAAGTATACATATCGAATGCCGCACGTGATGCCGCACATCAAGTGAAGTGAGTGTCAATCGGTCCGTTAGCCGTTAGCCAACGTTAGCAGCTGTCGCAGCGACGCACAAGAGAACGCCCCCAACGCGCACAACATTGCCACGCACAGGACAATCGAGCACCAGCGATGACTGCCAAGCCGCCTCCTCCGGTGCCGCCAACGGTGCCCGATGACCAGCTGCCGAAGCTGGCGCCGCAGATACCACGCCTCAACTCGGAGCTGGCCGCCCAGGCAGCGATGCGCGCCCAGCAGCTGCTGCGCAAGCAGAGCTCGCAGGAGCAGACGCCACCCGGGCAGAAGGCAGCGCCACCACCGCTGCCGCCGCAGAGCCGACCCGTGCCAGCGATTCCGGCACGCGGCGCCAGCGAGCGCTCGGCACCGCCAGAAATTCCACCCAAGCGCCATAGCCTGAAGAGTCTGCCCGATGGCCAGCATGTGGTGGTGCCCGGGCTGCCACCACCTCTGCGGCAGCCACCGCCGTTGCCCAAGAAGCCCGCATCCGCGCAGAGCTCGGCGCAGAACAGCGCACAGAACTCGCCGCTGGCGGGGCTCAAGTTCAAGGAGAAGCCGCCGCTGCCACCGGAGAAACACTCGACGCTGTCAGCCGAGGCAATGGCGGCGCGCCGCTGCTCCAATCCCTTCGAGATGCCGCCACCGCCGCCGCCGCTCGTGCTGCAGTCGGCAGTGGCAGCGCTGAGCGAGCAGAGCTCCAAGAATGTGAACACGCTGGCGAATTGCATTCCGGTGCCGTCGCCGGCGCCAACGAGAGCCAGCGAGACCAAGAAGCTAAACCAACGACCAGCTGCGGCGGCCGTCTCACCCACGGATGAGTTCGGCTCGGAGGATGCGCTGCGCGGCATTGAGAGCGGCCTGCGCAACATGGAGCGCGCCATGCAGGAGCAGATGAACTTGCGCAGCCTGGAGGCCGCCGTGCAGAACAACTTCGATCTGAGCTTCAAGGCCAGCCTGGCCGCAGGAGGCGGCCGCCACCTAGGTAGCTCAGCCAATTTGCGCACCACCAACTACGAGCGCAACCTGTCGCTCGACGAGAGCCGAGCAGGAGACTCGCGTCAGTCGCTGGAGGAACTGAAGCAACTGCGTGCCCAGGCGCAGCAGCAATCGCTACACAATTCATCCTCCTCGTCTGTGTCGTCCGCATCGGCCTCGCAGGTGGAGCAATCAATGCGCTCCACCATCGAGCACCACATGCGCTCCCTCGATCGCAATCTGCCACTGGAGCTGCAGTACAGTCGCCATCGCATGCAGAACAACTTGTCCGGCGCAGGCCACCTTCCGCCCGGCGGCGGCGCTCCGTCAGCGTCGCAGTCCTCCCAGCAGCAGCAGCAGCAGCAGTCGCCCCAGCCACCCATGCCGCTGAGCAGCGAGTTCCGTGAACAGATCCGCCAGCAGCTGCTGGGCAACATTCCGCCGCAGGTGGTGCACAACATGGGCCAGTTGCCCGGCTCGGCAGCAGCCGCTGCACTGCTGCAGCATCAGGCTCAGTCGCGGGCAGCTGCGGCCGCCGCTGCTGCTGCCGCCCAGATCGTCGCCGGCAATGGCGTCGTGCCCGTTGGACTCTCCAGAGAGGAGCTGCGCATGCGTCGACGCTCCTCCCACGACGAGACGCAAATATCGCAGAACGCAGCAGGAGGCATTCCGGGTAAGATGGAAAAGGATTGACTGATTGATTGAAGAACTGATCAGCGCCCAGTCCCTGAGTCTAGATAGATAGGCAACCGATATTCAGCATATATATAATGATATGATATAAGTTTCAACAAAAAACTTTAACTTAAGTTGGAAAAATTTAACTTAAATATTATTTATTTATTCATTTGTTTTTAATATAATATAATTTTTTTTTAAGTTAAGATAGTTAGGCATAATTATGCTATGAATACTTAATATTGATATACTTCAGATTATAAATTATATATTGTGTTTACCAGCACTTATTTCATTT